ACTATCTACTATATACCATATCATACCATACCATATCACATCAAAGGCAATTTACCATAAGCCTATTTATTACCAAATACCTAATATATATCATACCCATCAGGGCTTAAACACCCTCGCTATGCTATACTACCTAGGTATACTTATACTATATACTATATTATGATATAATATATTAATCGAATCCATCCAATAATTATCCAAAATATACGCCTCCGATATAATTCCCGTAGATGCCATATGCATATGCATGCATCTATACCACACACAATGCAGTAAAATACCATACCTATAAAACCAACCCATCCATCCAATCCAAAATCTCTGAACAATATATCAAATCAAATGAGTCATAATCTAATCCAATCAACCATCTGAAATAATCCAATCCAAACGCCATTCCATTTCTCCACATCATTCTCCCTCACCCCATCCCATCCCACCACATCCATCCATTTAAATCGGCGCACTATCTCTCCTCTCCACCCCCGCCCTCTCCTCCTTCGAATCCTCCCTAATCTTATCCAAAACCACACCTCTCACAAGCCACCTCTCCATCTCCGGAACCAATTCCCCTATACGAAAAGGTTTCGTAACAACACTATCCATACCAGCCTCTTTCGCTCTTGCAATTTGTTCACTTCTCGCATTAGCCGTCACAGCTATAACTGGTACGCGTCCTTTAACTTTTCCTTCTTTTTCCCATTTGCGTATTTCTCGTACGCATGTAAGACCATCCATGATTGGCATTTCAAGATCCATTAATAGGATATTACATGGGATTCCTGGATCACCTTCTGGTAATGTGGTGGAAAATGTTGATTTTTCGAGGAATTCGAGGGCTTCCAATCCATGATTTGCCACGCTCACAGTACAACCTGCGCCACGGAGTTGTTTGCTTAAAACCTGATCGATAGTTAGTTTGGAATTTATTAGGATAAGGAGATAACATACTTTTTGATTAACGATATTATCTTCCACAATAAGGATATGTTTTGGGGTTGGTGAAGCTGGACTTTGAGAACGACGACTTTTTAAACTCTGACGAGTTGGTCCTTTAACTCGAGCGAGAGAATTGTTTGTGATGATATTATTTTGCGCTTGAGCATCCATTTGAGGAACAAATGAATCCTTATCATCAGGTGGTTCGCAACGTCGAGCGCGAATGTAAAATGCAAATGTACTTCCCACTCCAGCTTTTGAGGCAACTCCTATTTGACCACCTTGAAGCTCTGTAAGTTCTCGAGAAATAAACAGACCGAGACCCGATCCACCATATTGAACATGTGTTCGTGGTGAAGCTTGGGAAAATCTCTTAAACAAAAGATTGCATTCAGTTTCATCTAGACCGCGGCCACTATCTTTAACTTCGATATGTAGATAAACAACTTCTCCATTTCCCCATTCACTATCTGCTGTGTTATCTTTGTGAGTATTGGTTCTTGAAAGGTAGACAAGACCTGGCGTGCTAGGAGGTTCGAGCGCTGCGCTCACAGTGATAGCGATATTTCGTTTTGCTTGAGTTTGTGTAAATTTTATGGCATTTGTGACGAGGTTGATAAGAACTTGTACTAATCTACTAGGATCCAATTTGATCCAGTCGATACTGAGTTCTTCAAACGTGGGAGATACATGAAACCTTAGAGCGACGTCACCTTTTTGTAATTCTCCATCGAATATCTTCAGTGCATTTTTGATGATAAGTAATGGTTGTACTTCAGTCGGAGTGACGAATAACAAATCTGAATCCAATTTACTCAAAGTCAGAATATCATCAATGATTCTTTTCTGATGTTGAGCACAAAGGACAATCGTCGAAGCTGCATCTGCATATCCATGAACTGCTTCTCGTGGAAGAACAATATCATTAGTTCCTCCATCAAATTCTTTAACCGAAATTCCAATCATATCTGCACACTGGATGATTGCCGACAATGGGTTCCTCATTTCATGTGATGTCATGTCGATGAAATTCTCTTGTTGTCGCTTTAGTTCAACTGCTTCTAGCATTTTTCGTTTCTGGAAATCCTCTGCCCATTTTTGTCGACTAATATCCGTCAAGCAACCTAAAACACCAACGACCTTACCATCATCTGCCTTTTCAGGATATGCAGCTTGTATTATCCAAATTGCGCCATCAATTTCTTCATCACCAATCTTATCAGCACCCTTAAAAAGTGCTCGTAACCGAATTTCAAAGGAGACAGGTTCGCCGGCCATAAGCTTTTTCCATTGTGCATCCATTATGGGCCAATCTTCCTCCATGACTACATCATACATGCTCTTCAAAATAGATTTGTCAGCAAACAAAGTTCTGGAAAGTGGGAACAGGTGAATTTGAGGCGGATCCAAATACATCAAGGCTAACGAGCTATGAATAGAGCTCATGCCAGTAGAAATAATGTTATTTTTATTAAGATAACAAATTCCTGAGAATTATTGGACATGAATGATGTTGCGAGATAATATAGATTTGGTATTCCACTTGGACGATGATATAATGAGATTTCAGTATCAATTGAGCTCTAAATAAACTTCAAAGTTTAAATGATGAAAGTCTTATGGTGAAAGCATCATTAAGGCATACTTTGCAAGATGAAACTTCATAATTTCCCGAAAAATGAGATATATACGATGCTTTGGTTTAGTTATGCGAGGATATAAGTAAAAAGATCATAACATACCATGGGAGTATTGACATCTCTCTTGTGTTCCGTTAAATTATAATAAACTTCGTTAGCATAGAGTAACCTTCCCTCAGCATCGATATGAAACATTCCGACAGGGGCAAGATCAGCCATCCTTCTAAATCGACTTTCAATTTCTGAGGCTTCATGAGCTTGAATCTCAAGCTTCCTTGAAAGTCGATTCCGATCTTGATAAGCATGTTCGGCAGCCATACGACCACGTTGAATCTCATCTTCAACGAGTACTGCCGCGGCCATCGAGGTGGCTAGTTGTCGGCTGAGTAATTGTATGAATAATCTATAGTCATCATCGTATTTCCGTCGAGCATTGAGTCCAAAAATAAGAAAGCCGAGAACATTCTCGGTGGTTGCTCTGATTGGCAAGAAGACAACTGTATCCCAAGCAAGTGTGCCCTGAAGAGCTGTGGTCAAGGATGCAGGGATAGTACCATCTTTTCGATGTAAAAGCGTAGGCGAATCTGATTTAACAAGGTCACTGAAACTTGGTAGAAATTCTTCCATGGGGTTTTGAGAATTGATATGCTTCGGCACGGTTTTGTCACCACCAGGGACTCTTACAGTGCCTTCCAACACCCAATTACAGTTATGACTTGACGCTGATGATTCCGAGAGTGTTTCATTAACATCGTTACCAGCGGAATATAACAAAGCAAACGGTAAGTCTGGATGATCCGGTTCAAGTCCACGCAGAAGCTGCTGCCAAAAGTCCTTGGGTTCTCGAGATGAAGCAATGAATTGCCCAAGTCGTAACAGAAATAGCATTCTGCGATCTGCAACTACCTGTCTCGTGGTGTCGAATACAGGATTGTAACTACCTATAATGTTAGTGCGGGGGTTCAACCAACCAAATTTCCATAGGAAGTATTTAGACTTACAAGGCAAGGTTACAATTATAGCTGTCGCAGCTGAATGGTAGAATTGACAAAGAAAAGTACGTCTCCTCCAAGTATCCATGCCTTTCAATGTAAAACCTTGCATCATCCATGGTTGAAGCTGTACCAGTTTCATACGCCTTGTCAAAGGTTTTTTTGAACACGCTTTCAATCTCAGGCCACGCTTCTGGAAAAGGCTTCCCCATCATCCCTGGATGCTTCTGTCCTGTGACTGACACATATGGTTCGTTGTACATTACAACTCTGGATTGACCCCAATACATTGCCGCAGGTCTTGGATCTGACATCAGGAAATTGCACATCCTCCGTAGCCCAACTGGCCAAGAATCAATGGGACCAAGCTCTGTAGATTCCCAATCAAAATCAAGGAAAAACCTCACATGGGGTGACAACTCTACTATGGTGTCTGGTGCGAATATATCGAATGGACCAAGTGTGGTACACCCCACTGCAAGATCCTCTTTCAAAGTGATCGGTTCCTGTGCTGGCGGAAATATTGATATTGTATCTTCCCGATGAAGTCGATATTCCTCCAGTTGAGATTCCAGAGAGGGCCTAGGAGTGTCGTCAGATTTTGACATAGATCGTGCCTTTCGAGGCGAAAGGGTTTGCGATCGAAGGATCGGAGGTTTGTCCTCAATGGTATCTATCCTTCCTCCTACGTCTCCAGCAATGACCCTCCACCTATTGCTGATTGTTTGTGCAGTCCATCTCACTCCACAATATAGTGTTACGGGTAATTTTCCATCGCTGAAATTTTCCCCTGCCCATTCTAAAAATTCCCGATGCTTTTCGTCTTTCGTAGCCACATCCAGGTCAAGGGATTCCCCAACTTTGCTCCCTAGAACTTGTAACTCCTTTAACCGCGGATTCGTATATATTGGCGTTGTCTCATCGAGTTTCGTGAGGTCAAGTATAAAAACTGCCCTCTCGTCCGATTCGAGTAATTCGAGGACTCCTACATTGCGCAAATTATCCTGCGGCTCGAGAGGACTCAAATTTGGATCCACAGGTACCGATATGATCTGCGCTGAACCTTTTGCTTCTTCATCTGTAGACGAGGTTATGGCGAGGCCGTCGAATACCGATGGCAGATATTCCATCGCAAATTTTGCCGCATTTACCCACGTCAGTTGTTTTTCTTCTTGTTCGGAAATAGGTCTAGCCGGCCACCTAGTCCCAGTCTCTTCCTCACTTCAAAAACTCCAAAGACAATCAGAAATCGAATAGCTTATAGCTATCGCACACAATTCTACTCAAAAAGAATGCCGAGACTTCGTTGTTGTGTTATGGTGGGGTAATTTTGTTACTCTGTTTGGCTGTTTGGGCAAATATGATTGAAGATCACGAAACAAGAAACAAAAAGAGAGATACTGATGGGATGAAACAATAACAGCATTCATTCCTATTAGAGTAGCATAGTAATGAAGCGACGTGTGTATGTGTGTTTGTAGTAGAACGTATAAAGAGAAGAAGTTGCGCACCCTGCCTCGAGTTTGTGTTCTTCCCATGTGGATTCGTAGCCTGAGATTTTGTGTCCCTTCTTGTTCTACGAAATAACAAATATTTCGTACCAAGTGGGACAGACGTGATAGACTTTGGAATGAACACAATATTGGTACAACCTTATCATAGAAATTTTGAGGATATTTTTCTTTCTTCCAAGATTATCAAAGAAATCAGACGATTGGAGAGAAACAACCGATGTATTTGCGAAGATAATCCTATCAGCCCACTCGGAAAAGTTGCCGTAGATAAAACGGTTTTAAAAATGTTATAATTATCAAATCAGATGGATTTTTTTTGGTGGAGCGCTTGCAGCACAACGAAAACGTTACCGGTATATCTTATCGTTGAAACCGGCTCTGCTCCAACTTCCCACGAATTGAAAGAGGAAAAAAACTAAAAACGAAGAATTGGTGATAATTGTGGCTAGGTTATCCCTCCATCTCTGGAGAGACGACGAAACTTAGTATGGATCATCAAGTCGTTGATGGTGGTGATGATGATGATGATTTAAAATGAAGTAGATCATTGGCACTCTGATCTAAGATCTGTTCTCCATCTTGCTCGAGAATTGACCTGGTCTGGAATCGAAGAGAATTTAATGTCATCGTCGACAATGTGGCTGGTGTAGACCAAGTCGAATCCACCATCTGGGAAATGAATTTGTCGATCTATGTGTAGCACAGCCACGGTCGAGTTCTCACGAGATGCATATGTTAATCTGTCTCATTCATGATCATGATACCGATATCCTTCTGTTGTATGGAAAGACGGAGATACTCAGTGTCTTGGAGTCATACTTTGAGGTGGTTCCTGCGGTAACAGGACAGAATGGAATATGTGATAAAGATGATCATTTATTGATAGTATAATCTAGGTGGCCTGTTTAAATCTAAATCATGCCTACTCTCAATTAAATTCCTCAAAAAATGCCGACATTTTTTCATTAAACCAGGCTTCCTCTTGAATAGGGATCGCATGCCCATCACCTTCTCGAATTTCCGGTCTACCGGGTTGGAGAAATGCGATGAGTTTCTCACCATGAGGAAAAGATATTAGCCGGTCTTGTGTGCCGCTGTATGGTGTGTTAGTCGTTCTTCAAAAATCAAATACCCGTACCGTATTAAATGGGTTTAATCGACAAAACTTCAAAATATACTCACTGCATGACAGCTATTCTCTCCCTACCCACTTTATCCCCCAACTCTTTTATTTGCGCAGGGCTCTTGTGATGCCAACCGGCAGCAATCGCCTGTAGCAGAAATCCGATTGTCTTGAAAGAGTTAGGATCGAGCCGTTTGGTTAGTTCGGCGGCAGCAAAGCGTTCATAGTTCGTGGAGAAGTGTGCATAGGGAAAAGGGTGGCCTGGCGGTGGTTCCACTAACGGGGTTGATTCCGAGGGTAGATGAGCTAAATGTTGTGAATTAGTTGGAGGAGCAAAATAGCAGAAGTCATGGAAGTTAGAATGGTAGAGGATATGAAGTGAATCTAATGGTAAAGAAAAGATAAACAAACCAGTATCTGGTAATGACAGCCACGAAGCGGGAAACAATGACAACGATGCATCGAGAACCGATCGATCAAGTGGTTTAGGAACGAACATCATAACTCTAGTGCGCAGATGTTCAAAGAAAGTGGTGGTATTCTCGACAAAGGCAGCCGTGGAAAGTAAATTGAGAGTAGCAATTCGATTTGGTATCATTAATGCCTGTAGATGATTATTGGCATTAATCTTGAACGACATTAACTAACAAATTACATGGATCACTTACCAGTTCTTGTGCAATCATTCCACCCATACTTACTCCAGTGACATTCAATTGTCTATCCTTCGTCCAACCAAGATGATCGAGGAGCTCAATAGTGTCTTTGGCCATTTCCGAGGTAGAATATCGTAAAATCGGGGTGTCTGATGCGCCCATACCTCTATTATCAAACACCAACGACGAATACTTATCCCCTCTTTCATGACCAAAGTGTAGAGTTTGCCTTTGCCATGTTGACTTGTTAGACCCTAAGCCCATGAGCCACTGAACGGAGGCACCGGATTAGCGGTTGATGGATGAATCATGTGACATCATTGGAATCAAGTTCTGTTCAGCGGGGCAAAAGCCTCTGGAGGTATTAAGGGAGGCGGCGATGATGCCAAATAGTTGTGAATAATGTGAATAATATAAATGGTACTTTGTATACCAACCCGAGGCTTTGATGTTTGAGCTGTGAGTTCTTTCACCTCCTCATCTGCCGGTCCGCCATGCACTTGCATGTGATATGTATAAATGTAACAACTCAAGGTCCGAAATCATCAACTTACCACAACCTTCGTCTCTCCGCTGCCATGAACCTCCCAATCAATATTGAACGGTCCTCCCCTGCCTTTGCCGACCGGCAACTTCCCTCTTTTCGTTGGTGTGAGTCTCCATATTGTGTCTGGATAGGATTTATGCGCGAGGATTTCAGCCACAGTCGGACGTTCGTCAACAAGTGGTTCACTGGAAGAAATACAAAATTAGTTCTCAGATTCTTTTGACTTCTGAATATAAAAAGTATTTTTACATTTGGCCCATTATGTTTTGAGGTAACTTGGATGGATTTTGATGGTTTTGTGGATGGTTTGGAAACGGAAGGAATGTCCCGGCTGGTAGCTGAACCTCCATTTGGTTACCGCGCTAAAATCCGACCATGGCCTTTTTCAACAAACACTACAACAACTTTCCTCAACATTGGCATCAAGATATCAAGATATTAACACATCAATGCATCAACATACCAACAAAACCAACACCAACACCCTATTGACATCAATTGGAATAGAAGCTGTGCTAATCCTTTTTCCTACACTTTGTTAGCTATGGGTTGCGCTGATTCTAGATCTATCATTACACCAGGCAATCAGTGATCTTAAACCAAAATTTCATCCCCACGGTTCCCAATGTCACCTGGTTCTGATAAAGCGATCAGTCATCCAAATACAGTCATAGGACTCGGGTTTTCATCGCGACGTTCCGTGGTTTGAAATTCAAACAGGATATCATACACATACACATTCACAGGATTATTTTATCAATTGGCCAAGCACAGATGAGAACCTTTTCCGAATGACAATGATCAAAACTTCACGAGGTCGACTTTTGATCTCTCCGAGCCTTGAGAGCTTCAGTACTATTCCACGGTGCATGACCGAGGCAAGGAACGCGAATTACTTTCATGGAATATATATTGCTTTTCACATTCTGTGAAATATACAAAGCCTATATGAGTTATCTGCTCCTTCAATCTGATCAAGGTCTTGTCCTGTTGGAGTTGGCATCTAATCTCCAAGCTGATCGATCATATGATGCCGGCCATACACCGTTCTTTCCTGGTGCCAAAATACCCTTGGGATCAAGAGCATTCTTGATCTTTTCGTTCAACTTCATCTGCGCGTTGTCGTTCCAACCATATGTTTCCGCAATCTGGTCCATCAAGGCAATGTGAGTTCTATACTCTCCCCACCCATTATCAGCACAAACTTGAACGAGCTCACGGATAAGCTTGTGAGCTCGTAGCTTTTGGTCCTCATCTTCACGGTCAAATACTAAGCATACGATATGATGCATCTCGCGCATACCAATGGTGAATGTTCCGATGAAATCAAAACCTGCCTCAAGAGTCATCTTTTGAGTAAGAGCGTACTGCTTGCTCGCATCTTCACCAGAGATCTTGGAGATAGGCGAGAAGAAAAGATGGGCACCATTAGGTAGCCAGTCTACCCATGAAAGTTCATCAATCGTTGGAATACCTTGTAGGGTTTGTGCGCGAACGTGAAGAACGCATTTCTCCTTGATATCTTCTGGAAGGAAGAATTTTGCACCTTCAATAGTTCCGAAAGCATCCTGAACTACTTGCCAGAGTACATCGCGCACAGGTTTGGGCCCGTATAAAGCGCCGTAGAAATTCCAGCGGCCAAGATTTAGTTTCTTAGCTATGGCATCGAGTTCTTCTTCATTTAGGGGTCGGTCAACGTCGTAGTATGATTTCTTGGTCCCCATTACCCCTGCATCAAGGAGGATATGTCGGATTGAAGGCACGTTTTGGATGACCATTTGTAACCTAAGGGGACGGATGACATCAACGATTTTTGGCAAATCAGAGTCTTTTGGGAATGTGATGAGATAAGGTTGGTAACCTCCTGGATTTGGCATAAGCTAAAAAATATTACGGTTAGTACTCTTGCATGGCGCAACGATACAGGCATTTCTTTTACTTACCCAAATGCCCATCTTTGTCACAATACCAAGGTTACTTTGTGAGAAGATACCATCATTGTATGGGCCAAAACCGTAGGGAAATAACTAGAATTCTGGTAAGCTCGAATACTGTCATCCTGCGATTGGTCTTAGCATACCTGCCAGCACTTGTTTCCTGGCTGTTGATCCAAACTTGCTCCCTCAACTGTCGGCTGCGTTGGGTCGGGCAAAGCTCCCATGCCAGTTCTGATAAGTTCTCCGGTAGGAAGCACGACCTCGAGTCCGCAATGCATCATGAAATGGTCTGCATGAAGCATCAGCAAGTGTTCCGTTTTCAGATATTAGAAATCACACACCTCCATATGGAGTATACCCTACGCCACGCTCAATAGTGTTTCCAACGACAGAACCACCACCCAGATCTGGAGTATCAATCCAGAGTTGATCGTCCAATTTTTTCTCCTTCAAGTAGTCGTATAGACTAAAAAATGTCACACCAGGTTCTAACAGCGCATATGCTCCTTCGGTGTTAACCTCTAGCACTTTGTTCATGTTTTTGCCCATATCTAGACCAATACTTCCAGGAACTCTTGGAGCTGCTCCTCCATATCCTACATTTCTACCAATTGAAAATGGCCAAAGCGGGATCTCGAATTCATTACAGAGTCTGACGATTTTTTGAACTTCTTCGACGTTGCGGGGAGCAATAGTGGCGGATACTACAAAATAATCTTTGTCGAAGATGTGGTACATATCGTGGACTTTGGAAGGGTCGGTGTACAGTTCTTTTGTAAGCTCTTCTTTCCTCTTAATAACGACGACATTTTCGGCACCAGTTGCTTCTTCAGCACGAGAAATGAATTCAGCAAATTTCTCTGAACTAGTTCCTGGTGGTAGGGCAAGAGGGTCATTTGTTCCCCGTGCAGCACCTGTGTTTGGTACCCGAAGGGCAAGAGGGGTGCCAGTGGTAGTAAGAGATGCCGACATCGTTTTTGGTTGAGGAGAAAGGATGCAAGGTAAACTTAGAGATGTGCTTGAGCAAGAACGAGGGATTAAATCGAGGGAAAAGCAAACACTTGGATATGCCGCTCGTGAGATAGATAAATCTGAAGGGCTACAGGAGGATTATCGATGCTTGCACCTTGTTTTGTAGTGGACATGAGTTCTTATCGAAGAGGCCTGGTCTTGTGCCAACCGTTGTTATTTGGTGGGCCAATTGCGGGGACGGAGCAACTATCACTTCAAGAACACATTTGCGCACCTAGACCAGACCAGAACAGACTCCGACGCCGAAGCCTTCTTTAACCGGAGACATTGCGACAGCAACTTAGAAGTAATCCATGTCTCTAAAACGTGGCAAGAAGGATGCCATATCCATATGGGGTTGTTGGCAAGTCACACTACAAAGGTCCCAAGTTACATCTCCTCGTTCTGAGGCAAGAGACTAATTTCAAAGTCCCACAAGAGCTCGACATAATGCGAGGTTTCAAGGACATCATATAAATTACATGTGGGCCAAATGTCCTTACTAGCCTGTAGTTTTATGTCGTGGAGCTATGCATAGCAAGATGAAGGAACAGTCTATTGTCCCCTGGAACTGACAGTTTAGTCCGAATTTCCGCTATTCTTCCCTTTGGTAATATCATGGCTAGATATGGAAGTTTCATGTGTCAATCCTAATTATCAAGGTCCGCTGTGCATGCTGTACAATCCAACTCTCTGCATAAGCACAAGCCGGCAAATTTTAACTCTGCTATCCACGTGTAGTCGAGAGTCATGGAGAGCTAGGAACAGTTTCTCTATCAGGGGATTCAAATATGAATTGCGGGGCTGATAACCTGGTCCTTGCAATTTTTCCTGCCATCTATCAGGGGATCCCAGAAGCCGCTTTGATACCCTTGGAAACCGTTGCGGCGGCTCCCCCTAGTCTCTGCGGGAATTCCCCGCTTGTAATTTGGAAATTGTACGTATTCCCGGTTATAGCTTTTCCTAGTGTTAACGAATATGGAAGCGAACCATACGGAGTATGAGATTGATAATGTAATAACTCTATAGTCTACCGGTAGTTGCTAACTGACGGAAGACTCTCAGGCCTCAGACACTCTATATACCCTGTACCTAGCAATTCATTCGGCTACGGCGCTTAAACTACAATCTATTGAGAAGCATAATTCTGGTGTCAAGCAAAACAATTCTCCTAGCTGACATTCGTCACGGCCCGTGGAATTCAGCGGTCTCTAAATACAGTCGGAACTCGGCTAATTTCGAAATCACCTCACCAAAATAACTAGAATATCTGATTGGGAGAGACTCTTTGAGTGGGTCACTCCACTTCAAGTTTTACTTCGTACTTCAATTTCGCTCCAGTTTTATTGAAATCATACTCCACTGAGCGATGCGAGCAGTTCATCCCGCAAAACTTTACTCCATATTTGTGATAGTCCACCTGAGTCCACCAAGTTCTTACGGTTGTTCTCTCGGTCTTTGCCTCCACAGTTTGACATCAGACATATGAACCGAATCATGTCCTGGTAAAATCCCGGCAACGGCTCCACTCACCGCAACCGACGACTATTCCAGTAGAGTAAGCCTTTTTTTCAAACATGCCTAAGCTTATTCCGCTGAAACGAAAGTCCCAAAACAGTAACCCTGGAAATTTGGTAGATTGTCCGCAAAGACCGCGATAAGTTCATATACTGGAACGGATTTAGCCCCTATAGTACTGACCTGACATCACCCCGAGAAAAGCTTCTTTTCTCGACCCCGTCAAAAAATTGGCTGTAAGGTATATTTAGTCTCTAGCTAGTACGACGTGCTCCCAAAAATTCATTGGTCAAACAGATAGCATGCTCATACTCCCTATTACATTCATAAATGTATCGGTGATGAATCTCGATCTTCCATTTTCGGACCCCTGGTTAATGGTTGTGGTGAACACCCCGTTAGTAATCTTCCAATGCTATATCCGTCATGACGGTCTCCTCTAGATCCATTATTATGTCCACTTTGCTGGTAAGCACTGTCCCAACCATTGTAAACCTATCAAACAAAGACAGGCGGAGCCCATATTCCAAGTGGAGACACCATTCTTTATATTTTGTGATTTCCATTAGCGAAGCTCTGTTCGACGACTACTATACAAAGTATATCAAGTAACTTACCAAATCCACGTGGAGATTATCCGATTGTACAGCAGTTCCCGTGAGCACCCGCGACAGCAGTCAGACATTAAGTCTGGGGCGTACAGCGCCGGCAAGATGCGTCATTTGTCAGCTCTGGGACCTACCATCATCTTGGTGATGTGGATCGAGACATTTGCTGCAGCGGTATTCGTAGGACTACGGATGTACACTCGATATTATATCGTTCAAGCCACAGGTTATGATGACTGGCTCATTGTGGCCAGCATTGTGAGTGATAAACACCAACCTATGTTCTCTTGAATTCAATGCTAATAAGACCATTCATATACAGTTATTGTTCATAGGATACACCTCCTTTTGTACTGTAGCCGCCGTTTATGGATTAGGATCGCATTTTTTGGATATCACGGAGGCTCAGTGAGTATTATTGATTCTTTAAATCTACAAACTTTGATGTTCAGCTTCTCGTTTTGAATATCCTAATTTAGAACTTTCTTCACTCCCCCATACAAGCCCAACTCATCTTTACGTTTGGTAACCGTTTTGGAGATTACGTACTGAGTCTTATTTGTTCTAGATTCGTCTTGTCCAATAAGATGGAAGTCGCTGGCCAAACTTGCAATATCATCGCAATCGCCACCAGCAAGTCCTCCGTAGCGGTCTTCCTTCTCCGTCTCGTCGTTGTTCCTTGGCATAAGGTTTTCCTTTGGGCTTGTATCGTCAGTACCTTTATTGTATGCATCATCTGCGCCACTCTCGACTTCTTCCAATGCTCACCAATGCCGGCAATTTTTAACCCGTCCATACCTCATACTGTTAATTTCAATTTCACGGCGAATGCAATTTTCTCGGGAGGTTATACGGCTTTGATGGATTTTGTCTTGGCTCTTTTCCCGTGGTATTTCTTAGCTGGGGTTCGGATTAGACGGAAGGAAAGGTTGACTATTTCGTTTGGTCTTACTTTGGGTGTTTTGTAAGTTTTTTTTTGCCACGGGACTGCAGAAGTCTCTTAGGCTGATGCTGATAAGAGTTTGTTTCAGTGCAGGAATCTGTGGTATTGTGCGAGCCGTTGAGCTTGGAGGGTTAGCATCTCGGTCAGATTATACTTGTAAGATTTCCAAGCAATCCTCATTGAAAATTCCAAAACATTCCAAAGGAATAAAACTAACTCCATCTCCACAGACGACACAGTACCACTCATCCTCTGGGGCTCGAGCGAACTTCTAGTCGCTATCGTCTGCGCCTGTATCCCCGTGCTTCGACCCCTCTACAAGCAATTGCGCGGTCAAGAAAAACAATCCAACGAGTCTAGCGGTCCCTATCCCAATAGAAGCGGAAGTAAAATAGGTCACGGGTACGCATTAAGTTCTATGCGTCGCGACGAATTTGCGGCGAATGAAAGGGGCGAGGGAACCTCGAATTCTTCACAAAATAATAACGCGCAAGATGATATTGAGAGGGATGCAACTGGTTTGGATAATGGAAGTGATGAGAGTATTTTGAGGGATGCGTGGAGGTATGGGATTAAGGAGACGACGGAGGTTCATGTTACGTATGGATAGCGGGGAAGGGGGGATGTATAGGGATGGGGATGGGGTGATGGTAATGTGGGACTGAGGGACTGAGGGGGTGTCTTGCAAGGTTGGTTATGCGGGTGGAATTTGGATGGGTTAATGATATCTGGCACGGCTCAGGAACGGATTTTTAAAGTTTTCCGAATTTGCCATTTGTATGTTTTACACGTGGCGTTGCGGCGTCGAATGGTTGGTGTGTTATTAGGTCATCTATCGACGAACATATGTATATGTATATGTAAGATGGATCATGCATGGTATGGATATTTAGATTATAGATTAGATGAGGTATTTTAGAACGAGCAATCGAGTAATTTAATTAATTCATTATATTTTTATATTTTTTAGGTTTCTGTATTATAAGATAAAAACTTTTTATTTAAATATTTAATCTTATAATTAAGTAATTAATTATAAATTTTATTAACAGATGTTATTTAATTTAATTTATTTTTGTTATATGTTATATATTAAATTAATATTCGAGTATTTATTTATTATTATTAATTGATTATTCTTTTTAGATAACTTTAAAATTATATTATGTTACGAGGTTTGCCGTCTAGATCACGTGGAAGTGCTCTAGGCTCTCGAAGTAGGTTTATAACTAGGCGTCAAGCAGGGACTTAAAGTAATGACAATAATGATATGCAATTCGTAACTAATAGTAGGATATACTAAATGATTGATCTTGAGCACGAAGCTCTATACAAAGGGAATCCATCTTGATTATATAGACCTTCATGCCTATGGCTAGTCAGGACCGCGCAGCGGTCCTGGACAGCCAGCGGTCCTGGACAGCCAGCGTTCCTGGACAGCCAGCGTTCCTCAGCGGTCCATAACGTGACTTTAATCACGTTACCTTGGTTTAGTCATGTGACGCGGCATAGAAGATAGCCGTTGTAACATATTAATGATTAAAGAAATAATAATAGTAATATTGATTTATAATATAATTGATATTTAATATTGTTACGACGGGCTATACAACTACCATCACATGACCAAGACACGTGATCACAAGTGATCAGTAGTGATCATGAAGGATCACCAGTGATCATAGAAGCATGAAGGTCTATATAATCAAGATGGATTTCCTTTGTATAGAGCTTCGTGCTCAAGATCAATCATTTAGTATACTCTACTATTAATTACGAATTGCATTATTGTCATTACTTAAGTCCCTGCTTGACGCCTAGTTATAAACCACCTCGAGAGCCTAGAGCAAGTCCACGTGATCTAGACGGCAAACCTCGTAACAGTTCTAGGGATGGAGTGAGATGTTAGTGAGTACCACGGAATGAATAGATGGATGGGTAATAGGTAATAGGTAATAGGTACAAAAACTTTAAAACTTAGGAGAGGTTTGGTTTTCCTGCTGGTTTATTTTAGGTTGATTGCTTTGATTTGCTAATTTGGGGTTGTAGGTCTGCGGAGGATGGGGGAGGATGGGGGAGGATGGGATGGGATGAGAGGGCAATGGGTGGATTTGATGTTAGAATAAGGTAAGATCTTAGGATATCAGGATTTCGGGATTTCCGGTAAGATTCATATGGTGAGAAGGTGGGATCGACGGATTGATGTTGTTCTTTTGGTAATGGGCGGTTGGTATGTGTGTGGATGATTCTTTTTCTGCTACATGAGTATCATTGATCTTTTTCCATGCAATTGTTGATGCCCGGTTCACATCTTGACTCGCAGTTTAAAGCGGTATGAGGTTTAACAGCTGATCACATTTCGTAATTTTCCAGGATCAGCTGCTCAAAGCATGATTAATGTAAGACTTAAATCCAGCATCAATACCAACAAACACTCAAGAATCCATAAAAAAACGAAATCTCCAAAACAACCCCTAAAATAAATCAACACAAAACAAACTCCTCAGTCTTAAAATCACTTTCCATAAATTCCCCATCCATAATCCCATAAACATAAGCTTCCTCAATAAATTCCCACTTATCCTCTCCCACTACGCACAACAAATGGTTGTACCGTCCCAAAAATAATAATTATCACATCCCCAGGTACTGAATGTCCGGGTGTAAGACCTACATATCCCTGCGTAGATATAAATGGTCTTCTATTCTGCTGATACGCCATTGCATTTTTGTAAGAGACATATGCTGTCGTTTGAATACATCTTAGATACTCTGCGGTATTTGCTTCAAATTCTTCTTCGGTGAGATGTTGATCTGTGATGCTTCTGGCGTTGTCTGAATATAATTCGATACTTCTTCGATGGTTGTTGTAGCCTATTAGCGAAACATCCGTGACGCGTGTTCGAAAGGTGGTATTGACGGTTTGGTCGGCGCATGGTATGCGCCAATGCGCTCCGAACCATCTTATATCATGTTGTGATATGGGTTTTGTACTCTTCGCATTTATTGCTTGACCTTGCTCACAGAAATGTGCTATTTCGTCAAAATATCGGGTTGTATTTGCGTGGATTTTCAAAAATTCCCCGGTACTTCTAGATACGATACCCTGTCTATTGTCGACAGTAAATAAACTGCCATGAGCCATGATGGTATTGACTCTCGCACCTCTTAGTCCGATAACCCTTGAATCTATTTCTGCTATTTCAGGCACAATATAAAGTGAAGACTGCCCTGAAGCGGAAAAGAGAGCGGCCCTTTTGGTTTCACAAGATGGTTCTAAGAGAGTAGAAGTAAAGTCGGGAACCCAACTAGGAAGGCTGACTAAACTCTTTGGTTGTTAACTCCATGCCAAAATATCAACATTACCATGTTCTAGAAGAATTCGTGAAACAGATGTAAATATCTGTACTGTTTCATCATCCGATTCAACATTGGTATAAATGGGTTGTATGTTCAATAACGAGGCATCCAAAGCCATTCACAACAACCCATAAATCCTATCTCGTGGATACTTTGCTTTCCTTACTAATTCTTTAGATGCTTGAATACAGCCTCTCTCTAAAAGCCTAGCAAGAGTCGATCCCCCAGACTTTTGATGCTGTTTTCTGGTTCCCAAAAGGCGACCTAGGTTAGGAGGCGCTACACTCAAGCATCTAGCGATTTCACGTAAAGTCGATCCCTCAGCCGAATAATTAGCGGATTTTTGTAGTCCATAAGTGTTGATGACCATAGTTGATTGCGTAGCGAAAAAAAATCCAAGCCGCCTCAAACCATGGATGAAAGGGTACGGTCTTTTCACCACACGTTATCAACAACTCTTTGCCAAGGCAAAACTCTTGCATGATCCAAAGACAGTTTCAATAGTCTCGCTTTCCAATCTCATACCAACCAAGGTAAGGAAAGTTGAAGCCAATATCCATAGCAAGTTCATACAATGATCGCTTCAAATCCGCGAGCGGATCGTCTAGTTTCGGGCGGTTGAATCCGTAGCCTTCATGGTCCTCTCGGATATAAAATTCACAATCTCTCATACTATCTACCGTAACAGAAAATATTCCTGCATCAAAAGCAGCCTGTCCTATAGTTAGAGTCGAGTCCATGGCCTCGTCGGTCTCAGTAGTTCCACCGCCCAGAAAGACATCTAAGAAACTTGCACAAGTGTAGATATCTCTCATCAATTTAATTTGCTCTGCCTTATCGTCTGGATCATTTTGATTGATACATATCGCATCTGCCCAGAAGACCATCGGTATTGACTCATGCCGAAATGTCCTTAAAGCTTGTTCCAAACTAGTGGTAACTTCGATTTCTGTCTCATCGAGTAGAATTTTTGCTCGTGAGAGATCAGGGTCGCCCCAGCAGTAGGACAGAGCATGGTACTCTGGATTATCTTTCAAAGATACTACGTGTAAAGTGCATGACACTACGGCTATTTTAGTAACTAGAGTATCTAATGTCGTGAACTTATACGAACCTCTCGAATCATGGTGAGAACTCTCTGAATAGCCTTGGTCGGACAAGCCGTCCAATTGGGGTGTGTAACAGGTAGCTCTATGGCTTCTTGGAAGGATATGTAACACTCGGATTTGAAGTTCATGAGAATCAATAGGAGTGTATTGATAAGACGACATTCTGACAAATTAATACCAGCGTATCAATGTAGGGGACGATGAAGCAAGAAACTTGAATCATTATCAAAACATGCATTTTGTTAAGAATCATCTTGACTCTGGCGGGTACCAAGGAATGCCTCCCGAAACCTCGCATGCGCCTCATTCCCAATGTTGTTACTGGCAACCCGAGCTCAGCTATGCTATTTAGAGCGAAAGCAACCACGTTGGATTCATCCTTGTGGGAAGCGGCATGTGGGAACTAAGCTGCTAGTGGAATACTTTAAACATCTTCACACTAGTGACGAATATGAAGCTATCACATCTTTCAGGCCTCCAACCTTGTTGCACATGATACATAACATATATCCTCCAGTTTGCAATTGATTCGAACACTGGCAAGACTCAATCAAGCATCTGGGTCGTGAAAAGTTCAGTTCTAGGTCATTGACGCAAGCTTTAGGACGGCGAACAGAAAAGCTCACCCGGAAAACAAATGCTGCCGGTGAGTTCTCCCTCAGGAGAACCAACTTGCGCGCAATAAAGAAGCCCGCTTTCACCGACCAATAGAATCGTACACTCATTATGTAATCACTCCGTCATACAATGTTCCCCTCCATATTGAACTTCTTATTGTTCATGCTAAACTTATAATAAAAGTTGATGCAATGTATTCGAAACAGAAATAAATATGGGACAAAGTCAATCCGGTACAAGCGACAAACATGTTACAACAGAGCAACTGAGTCATGAGCTGGTAAGTTTTGCGATCCATAGGAATTGACCTCTTGAATGTCGAACCACCTCCTTTGAGAACTCATAATAATTTTCAGACAGGCTCGGAAATTTGCAAAACGATGCTTTACATCCCTCGAATTGTTTTCATTTCAAGACGTCTTTAAGAGTCTTGCAGATCACCAAGATGGAGTCGCATATTTTAAGGAAGATACCATCGCGCGATTCCTAGAGATTCCGGATATACTGGGCGCATCCCCAATTATATATCAAATGGTAACCTACCTTGGTGCATTTCCATTTGGTCAGGATGCGCCTGTGGTTTTGGGATTCGAACAAATGATTATGGTGGTGGTAATAATGACGGAGAGATATCAAAGAGTGTTGAAGAAGGGCAGTAGGGATCGGACGAAGCTACTATTTCGGAGTCTGGCAGTTTACGATAGGGGGGAATCTCGTGCGGGGATTGAAAAGCAAGATGATAAGACAGGGACAACTCCTCCGTTATCAGAAGGAGATAGTGTCGTTCAAAATCATGCCACGGGTTTCGCTGTCGATGCAGCTGCGAATGATGATAAAGACGAGAAGAGAAGAAGAAGAGGAAGAGGACGACGATGATCTTGCTTTAGCTGCACTTGAATCGCTGGATGCCATTGATGTTTTCCGA